ATTCATTGTAGATCCCATTATGGTTCATGGGTAAAGGATGCATGTTAGGAGCAGAATATTTATTTAAACTCTTTTTTTTTACAAAGATAAAATATTTCTGTGGTTATTTAATGATTCTTTTGTCGTGGAAATGTCTGTTCTGGGATTGCTACCTATACCTGTTTATCATGAAGTTAATCCTATTATCTATAACAATAAACAAATAACATGCTAATTAGACCAGACAGCCGAATAACCTTCTGGAGGACCTCCTGGATGAAGCTGGGGCTTCGAGGGCCGAGCCCCTTGCACGAATTTCGTGCATTGGGCCTCTAGTAGTTCAATAAATAAGCTCAAATAGCTATTCATAGCCACCATTGTTGTTGTTTTTAGTATTTCCTACTTCACTTAAAAAAATCTTTAGTGTTGAAAGTATTCATACTTCCCGGCCATTCTGGGTCAATGGTAGCACCAAACAAATACAATAAAATAAAATAAATTAATTAAAAATAAAAAATAAAAAAGTCAGAGCACCACTGGGCATGCTTTTTTGTTGTTGGATTGAATAGCAATTGGATTGTGTAGCAATTCATTGTAGATCCCATTATGGTTCATGGGTAGAGGATGCATGTTAGGAGCAGAATATAAACTCTTTTTTAAAAAAAGTTTAAAAATAATTCCGATTTATTGTACTGCTTAAATCCAGATGGAAAAAGATAGTTTCTTATTTTTGCGATGAATTAAATAATCATTTGTGTTTTTCTATCAGTGCACGAATTTCGTGCATTGGGCCTCTAGTAGTTCAATAAATAAGCTCAAATAGCTATTCATAGCCACCATTGTTGTTGTTTTTAGTATTTCCTACTTCACTTAAAAAAATCTTTAGTGTTGAAAGTATTACATACTTCCCCTTTTTCCCCATTGATCCCTAGTAGCCCATCTGCTATCCCAGCCCCAGGCCTTCACCACCCTATTGTCCGTTATAAGACATGACTGAATGAAATGGAATTACTGTCTCCATTGTGGGGATAAATTATTTCCTCAAATTGGGTGAATGAGCAGTGACTATTTTGAAGATTGGTATTTGGGAAATTTTCATGAGCAGCTTTCTGACAGGTTTAATGCTGTTGCAGAAGGTTTAATGTATTTCTTTACATTTTTATCCTATAGAAAAATACCTGTTAGTATGAAAACACAGCATTAAATATAAAACAACGAAGTCTTCCAAAGGCTGTTGAAATGTAGGCATGTGGTGTTTTATGGTAGTTTTTCCAATTGTATTTGCTGTTTAATATGGGTTTAATATGGTTGAAACTAAGGCACAAGAAGGCCCCTGTTGTACTCAACAACAAAGGACACCAACTTCACTGCATTCAGGGTCCTTTGCTCAGGTGGGGCGGTGCTCTGCTCCTGGGGGCGGAGCCATCCTCGCAGGTTCCCAGAGCTGCTCTCAGCCAGGCCCTGGGGATGGCAGTTCAGCAACAAGAGGAAGCTGCTCCTTCCTGGTTACAGGGACTTCCCTTGGGGTGGGTGGATGGGGTCTGACCGAATTATTTTATTTTTTAAATTTATCTTTATTGTTGGAAGTATTACAGATGTCTCTGTCGGTTATTTCCCCATTGACACCCTCCACCCCGCACCCACTCCTCCCAGGCCTTCACCACACTGTTGTCTGTGTCTGTGTTATTTTATTAAGCATGTATTGCCCTCTACCTTTCTTCCCACCATGAGGATAAAGAGATGATCACAGGAATAGGTGAGAAGTGTTATTAGAGAGGGGTCTTGGACAGGCATCCGATTCTGAAGGGATTCTGAAGGGTGTGGGGGCGAGGGCAGGAGATGGGGAGTTTCTCCCTAGGGCACTGAGAGATGACTTGGGCTGGGGGTGGGGGGTGAGAAGAGACACTTCTGGACAGAACACCACAGTCTGTGAAGGAACAGATCTTGTTCAGAAATGCAAGGAAGTCAGTGTAGTAGACGAAGGGCAGGGAGGAGGAGGAGGTGGGAGGAAGAACTTAATGCAGACAGCCATTCCTGATTTATGTCTCTATGGGAGTGTTTTAGACGGCTCTTTCTCAGGTCAGGACACAGTGCTGTACTGAATGGAGGTCCATTATTCTTACACTGAGTTAAACATTCCTCTCCTTTTTTTTTCTTTCCCTTCCGAAGTTCCGGTAGCTCACTGGATTTGGCCTTTCGGGTCTAAAATGAAACACACTGGAGAGATTTATAGCCAGTTAATTGGCTGTCTCTTTCTCAGTTACCCTTGACTGTGCAAACATGCATTTTGTTGTTCCTAAATAATACAACGCTCACAAAAGATAATGTAGGAGCTTTTGTATAAATTAAATGTAAGACGAAAAGATAAACTTAATGAAAACGCAGTTATTTCCTGAGCCTTACATTTAGGAAAAATGGGAACTTTAAACATATGTTGATTAAGTAACCAAGTAAGATTAATGAACACCAATAGGATAAGGTCAGCTGAAGTCATTATTTATTCTTACTCTCAGGCTGTAGCTTAGAATTTTTGCGCTATCTAGAGTAAATTGATTTGCCCTCAAAATGCCCTTGAATGGTTTGTGCCCATGTAATTATATTTTATACTTTATTGTTATTGTTTTTTAGCACATATTCATACATTTAAACTTCCTAGA